GGCAGGCGGGAATCGAACTCATGCGGAAGTGGCCTCAGATTCTCAATGCTGCGCTTTAACCCGCTGCGCCACCAGGGAGGGCCAGGTATCTGTATTTTTAACTATTGTTTTGTACTGTTAATTTATATTTTGAAACACTTCTCTGAAGTCAAAAAGGAACCCATAAAAATGAGAATTTTAGCACTCTAACCCCTCAGTAGAGAACTACATTTACACCCATGGTGAGACCTAATCTTTTCATTGTACATCTTCTAATTTAAAAACTTAGCATGTCCTTATACATGTATGTTCACATGTACAAAAATGTTTGATGTTGAGGTTAATTGCATAGAAATAAGAGATCTAATTTTTTTGCTTAACCATAGTTTTTTCTATATTCCCAGGGGTGCATTAGATTGGACTACATATCATTTGACCTTTTCAACATTTCCCTTGTATCCTCAAGAAAAGCTAAAATAAAAAGAACACTTGGACCCCTGAAGAATAATTTTCAACTTGAAAACAATTTTCAGGTGTGACCTAGCACATGTGTGTATATTTGATGAAGTATGTTTATGATGAAGTGCTTTCTCCCTTGCCAGAATAACAGTGATAGGAAAGACTGCATTGGTCATCAGTATCTGATAGACTCTGCCCAGGAGGGAGTTTACTTAGTAAAATAATAACTCAGAGAAATATTTTACTTGTTATGTGCTACTAACCAACCATCATTATTTATTTTAAATAATAATAATAATAAGTAGGATTTCTACAGTTGTGAAGGTTATCATATCAACAATTTCATAGATTATGAAAATTGTCAGGTTGCCTCTAAGTCTTTATTTTCTAGGGTATAACATTATCTTGTTCACAGCCATATCTAGTTTTATTATATTTGCTTTATTGCATTTCACAGATGCTGTACTTTTTTGTTTGTTCATTTTTGTTTTGAAAATTGAAGGTTCATGGCAAACCTGTGCCCAGAAAGTCTATTGGTATAATTTTTCCAATGATGTGTACTCACTTTATGTCTCCGTGTCATGTTTTATTTATCCTCACAATATTTCAAACATTTTCATTGTTTTTATATGTGTATTATGATGATCCGTTATCAATGACCTTTGGTGTTACTATTGTAATTGTTTGGGGGGCCCAGGATTGACGCCCTCAGAGATGGCAACTTAGTCAATAAACACTGTCTCTGTTCTGACTGTTTCAAGAATCAGCCACTCTTCCCTCTTCTCTCCTGGGGCCCCCCTCAGAAGCAATATTGAAATTACACTACAACACCCTCCAAGTTTTCAAATGGAAGAAAGTGTCCAGTCTTTTGATCAAAAGCTAGTAGTGACTAAGCTTACTGAGGAGAGCATGTGAAAAAAATACAGATAGGTTGAAAAGTAGGCCTCTAGTAACAAGTAGTTACTCCAAGCTGTGCATGCAAAGGAAATGTTCTAGATGGAAATTCAAAGTGAAAACATAGGTGATAAGAAAGCAAAAATAGTTTTAGTGCTGGCATGTTCTAGAAAGAAGATCAAATCAGCCATCACATTCCACCAAGTCAAAGCCTAATTCAGAGCAGGGCCTTAACTCTCTTCTACTTTATGAAGGTTGAGAGAGGTGAGGACACTTCAGAAAAATGCATTCCATTAACATTATTGAAACAACAATAAAGAATTTAGAATATTCCATAAACTTAGTTATGTCAACAGCAGCAGCAATGTCTGAGAATGTTGACTCCAGTTATGAAAGAAGTTTTACTATAAGATGCTAGTAAGCAACAGCACACACCACAGAACAATCTTCCACAAAAAGAAGAGTTGAGTGATAAGGCAAACTTCACTGTTGTCTTTTTTTTTTTTTTAAGATTTATTTATTTATGCGTACAGAACTAGGGTACAGGCCAGAAATGCAGGGGCGGTGAGAGGACTCACCAAAGACAGAGTGGGGAGCAGAACAGGCCAACTGATGAAGTATACTGCTGAGGGGAGCAGTGGGCGGGTCAGGAGAGGTCTGACAGGCCATGTGGCAACTCTGGGGCAGGCAAGGATGAAACTCATGCGGAGGTGGACTTAGCTTCTTAATGCTGTGCTTCAACCTGCTGCGCCACCAGGGAGGGCCCACTGTTGTCTTATTTTAAGAAGCTGCCACATCACCTGAACCTTTGGCAATCACCACCATGACCAGTCAGCCTCCAACAACATGGATGCAAGATCGTCCACCAGCAAAAAGATTACAACGGGCTAAAAATATAGATGATATTTAGCGATTCTCAGCAATAAAATATGTTTAACTAGGGCATGTGCTCTTTTATACGTAGCTACCGCACATCTTAGACTAAGATATCATGCATAATTTTTTGAAGCATAATTTTTATGGACATTAAGAAGCCACAGCTAGTATGTGATTTGTTTTTGTTGCGAGATTCACTCGATTGTGGTGGTCTGGAAACACATCAGCCATACTATCACACTGTCGGGGTGTGCCTGTATCAGAGGTGTCCATGAATATGTTTGCAGTATTACTCTGTTGTGTTTGCTCGGGCTCTGGGACTAGTCCTGGGCCTCTTCTGCACAGCTTAAGTGAGTCTACTACTTGATGTTTCTGCATCACTAACTTTTGACAGCTGTCCCAAAAAGTTTGCTAAAATAGCTAAAAATAAATAAACTAACACCTTGACCTTACACAAGTATCTATCACGTTTAACAATTTTTTTTTTCTTACTATAGTCTCATTTCATTCTCTCAAAGAATTCAAACAACTGAGGAACCACAGATTGGGACATAAGGGGTTGAAATAAGTAAGAAGAGAGCTGGGATAAGGTTGTTGTAAAAATGGAGGAACTGTCTCAGAACATTTCTTCTCCAGAAGATAAAAAAGAAAATCCTCAGAAAGCCTTCCAAACAGGGGAACATCTGATTTCTTTATAGGCTAGAACTGTTATCTATCTAGTTTCTGCCCAGACTTGCTTTGGAGTTTTTAATGAAGGGGGGGAGGGGCGGTCATCAGTATAATTTACCAGGAGGGTTCTTTCCCAGTCTAAGTCGGATTGGCAGTTGGAGGAAAAAATAGAGCCCAAGTCATCAAAATCCTGGGTTCCCCCACTCTCTCTACAAAGAAAAGAAAAGAAAAAAGAAAAGAAAAGAAAAGAAAAGAAAAGAAAAGAAAAGAAAAGAAAAGAAAAGAAAAGAAAAGAAAAGAAAAG